TTGTACCGCCTTTGGGCACCCTGCTTGAGCCCACCCCTAAAAAAGGCCGAGTTGCGCTTTGGGGTTGTGCTCCACTCGTTCCATCTGTCTTCCCAGGCGTCCGATACACCAATTTCATCTCCCCTGCGCCCATTTGCTCTACTACTTTTTCCCTCAAGGCCTCCACAGCCTCTGGATCCGCCATCCCATAGGTCGACACTATGTCCATAGCGTCGCCTATGTTCGCCAAGCTTAGAGTCAGCGCCTCAGGCTCTCTTATATCCTCAAGCCTGTTGTTTTCAATTCTCAGCCTCTCTTCTTCTGACTCTTCAATTCTGAACGAACCGGGGTTGGGCCGGTTCCTGACACTCTTGGGCCCTGTGTTCTTGCAAGTAATAAACTCGTAATTCCCACATACGGGATCGCACGGGACGAGGAACATAGTTCCGTCATGTTTATTGAGGATGACCGTCTCTGTCCTGCTCAGGAATGACCTTCCTAGTAGGATGGGGTGATCAAGGTCAGGCATTACAAAGAAACAACTCCTGACCTTTACCTTTCCAATCTCCAGTATCACTGATGACGTGGTCCCTATGAAAATCGACCGACTGTTTGCTCCCATCAGAACCCCGTTGTCGGAGTGGTCTACCTCCATCCCTAAACGCACTGCATCTGCCTCCTTTATGAGGTTCATTTCGGCGCCGATATCCACCATTGTTGTGCACGTCGTTCCTTTTACCACCACATCGAGGCATCCACAGACTACCGACTTCCAGTCCATTTTCGTGCCTGTCTCGGCCCACTTGGCCTCCTTAGGGATTATAGTCCCTAACCGTACACTGGCTACCATTTTTCTGGATAGTCCCGCCCTTAGCTCATCCCTGAGACTAGGCGTTGAGGCCAGGACGTCCTTCAAGTTCATAAGATGGTTATGACCTTCGAGAATCTTGTCCATTATCTCTTCCACGTCAAACCCCTCTTCCACTCGAACCACGTATTTCTTCTTCTTTACTTCTTGTGCCTGATCTGTGTCCGGCTTGGCACTTCTCTTCTTGGCCCTTTGCTCGGCCTTTTCATCCTCTTCTTTCCTCAACCTGTCATCCTCGTCATCCTCTTCTCCCGGAACGTCCACAACTTCCTTTTCTCCACTCGGCTCGGGAATGTCCTTAGCTGACGCCTCGGGGCTCACTGGCCCTTTAGCCCTTCTGCTAACAGCCTGTGGCGCCCTCCCCGTTCTCGAGGGTGATCTGAAGGTCATTCCGGATCGCGGCGCCGACCCCGAGGTTGTGACATTTGGTAAGTTGTCAGATCCCCCCTGCGACCCTGGACCGAGATCGTAGAGGAATACTTACGGCTCTTTACCTTTCCACCCCTTGACCTCTTCACACATGTCGGTCAGCTTCTATTGGTACCTCCCGACTTTATCTATCAAGTCCTCCATTTTGTCCATTGTCTGTCGGGCCGTCCTCCAGTAATCTTTCCATGTCTCAGCACGTCACGGCCTGTTCCAACAATCTACTTCTATCTCATCATCAGACTCTACTATGATGGGTTTTGCCTTAGTAGTGCCGCCTTTCCTCTCTTGCTCCACCTCTTCTTTCTCTCCTACCTCTTCAACCCTTATATCACTGCGGACCTCTTTCTCCTGCCACATCTGAAACATGGCTGGAGGAGCGGGTGGTTCACCTGGCTCGGCTCGTCGTAGAGCCTCCTTCCTTGTCCCGCGTGGGGTCCCAGGATCAAGGTGGTACACCCACTTGTCGTACATATCCCCATCATAATTGGTGCTGATTACGCCTTCGTCCTCATCATTCCTCCTTACATGTCAGAACTTGATAGTGTGACCTTTCTGCCCGCAGTGCCAACAAATGGCGTTCCTCCAATCTATTCTCCCCCTGCCAGCACCTCTTCCACCTTCCTGGCCACCTTGAATCCCAGATGCTGTCCAGCTGTCGCTTCCCCCGCCTGCAGCGTTACCACCACCATTCCCTCTGCCGTTTCCTCCCCGGCCACCATTCCCTCGCCCTCGGCCCCATCCTTGATCCTGACCACGTCCACCCCCTTGGTTGCCCTGCGATCCTTGTGGGGCTGACTGCTAAGGTTGGTTGGGCGGTGGGGTTGGGTGGCTCATCTGCTGAGCTTGGGGTCTTGGGCAGCCGCAGGAAGCTGTGCTCATCGGTGGTCCGGCATATGACCCATGCGGCCCAATCATCGGCCATGGTGCGTATGAACAATGCCCATGCCAGTGACTTGGAGGTCCATAACCTGGCCATGACCCATATTGCGCTGGTGCGGCCTGACTGGGCAACTCAGGAGGTGGCATGGCTATAGCTTGCAAGACTTATTCTCTGTCACTTGCAAAATCTCGGGCGCATCGGTCCCACACGGGGACCCTCCCAGCCGCGTAACGCAGGATTATGAAGGACTTGTCACGGAGAGCGTTTGCCGCTCCGGCCGAGTGCGTCAGCCGTACCTCTCGCGAGCCACTACTACAGGACAGAGTCACGCGAGGCACCGCTACCTCCACCTGTGGGAGCTGTCACCATCCCTAAGGTGGGCGTATCCCTGTCGAGCTACTGAACCACATGCGAAAGCTTTTCGTATGCAATTGCAGAGGTAGCCCAGCCGAGGGCGTTTCTCGTTCGCTGTAGCATAGAGGGTTACGCGCGGTCGAACGCCGAAAGATCGAACCCGTACGCGAATCGCCGCACTGGGGGGCTGAAATCCCAAACGTGACTCGGCACCGGTCCACTCGGACGCACTACTCTCACCACACGCTACACCACGATACTCATACTTACCCACTCATTACATACAGAAACACACACAGAACGGCCGCCACAAACACTGCCACAACACCACAACTCTTAGCCCCTTCAGTATCCGACCCATACTTTTACGCAACAGAACCAGATAGGCGTCGCGCGCTGGGTTTCCGTATAAGAGTCGAGCGAGCGCATGGCCTCCTCATGACAACCAGCCATGCAGGCATTCGCAAGCATTCGCGCTGATGGGGTACTCTGATGTACTTGTAGCCTTGCGACCCTTGATAACTTCGAGGGTTGCCCCAAAGGGTGCGGGGTAAGACGGTCCTTAGGGCAGGAAGGGAATTGGAGTGGTGGTGAGTTGTCTGGCGCACCACCGTCAACACGCTAACCCTTCCGCCCGGGGCTCTATCGTTCCACCAAAATAAACTCCAACGAGGATAAAACAACTACCCTTAGCATCATCAAGAAATACATTGTCGGGATTAGCCCTATAGGGGTTACCCGAACGCACATTTATTACCACCCCATTGAAACGAGAACAGAACCGTCTCACTCAAACAAGTGGGTTGTGGGGTAGTTCACTCTCACAACAGTTGTGTGGTTTGCCCATCTGACTCCAAGACACGATCACTCAATATAACCCAGATGATACTCTTCCATACATACCTGCAATCACATCACAGCATCAACCAAGATCCACGCACTACACGAAGTCAACTCCAACCAACCTCTTCACTCACCCCCTGTGCTTTAGCCATGCAAGCCCCAACCTCCAACCAACCAGCCATAATTAAGTACTCAGTACCTCTGTTAAATGGCAATGCAATAAAAGTCTGGGTGAAACTTTAACAAAACAAATAAAATCACCAGGGCTAAAGCCTTTTAAAGATGAGTATTGAGGGTGGGTCGTAGCTGAGTCGTAAACCGACGGATCGACAACCAACTTGTTATCAATGATAACAGAAAAGTAGTCAGGCTGACCAAGTCAGACCTTCCAATAAACGCACAAGCATGCACCACAGCACAGGTCAAAGGGAATTTAGTCATAGGTTCAGCTCAGGCGAGGATCACTCCTCACATCCTAACTCCTCTACCTGACTGGAAATATTCTACCTCCTCTATTTTTACGAAATTTCGGCAGCGCTTCCTGTAAAAAAAGTGCTTTCCCAGAATTTCTACGAGCCCAAAATGACTAACTCTTTCAGTTTTGCAAAAATTTCGGCAGCGCTTCCCATAGGGACAGGAGGCTACCAAGATTTATACAAAGCTGAAACTAGAAATACAAGACAAACTTTATGATTTTCCTTTTCTTCTTAGGCAGATAGTCACACCTACCCAACCTGGGAAGACATCCAACTCTGCTTTGTGTTTAGAAGGAAAAATAAAAGCAAGTTTATACTAACTCTCTGACCTTTTGTGTTATTACGAGCATAGGACTGAACCGCCCTAACCAAAGGGTACGTCCAGCCTGCCCGAGTTACCTCCTTTATACTTTTCACTTGCTTTCTTTTTCTTCTTAGTGCTACCTAACTTATTGACTTGCTTTCCCAACCAAGGGTGCCCGGTCTGTCAGAAATATAAGTTCAATAGTACACATATCCGAATTTTATATTAAAGTTGACACTTTTGTTCATGGCTTATGGTTGAGCCGCCCTAACCTTAGGGTACGCTCAGTCTTATGCCTTTGCTCCCTCAGAAAAAACACACAGGACTAGGGTCACGTAACCTAGAATGCCCCAGTTCTGTTTCAAGAACCCACAAAAGAAACATCAGGATTATGAGACATCCCAACCTACGGCGCTCATCCTCCTGTTCAGAAACCCCAAAAAAAAACAGCGGCTGGTCCGTCCAACCTATGATAGGTCCAGCCCTCAAAATCATACAGTCATTCCCAGAAACATAAAATAAACACAGCACTGAACCCACTCAACCTAGAGGGGTCCAACCTTTGGTTGACCCAGTCAAGACATGCAATACAACCTTCAGCCCACCTTCCCCCAGTTCATCCTTGACTGCATTCACTCAATTAGACATTTGATCTCTCATATACTTGTTCCTTTAGCCTTCACAATGCATGTCCTGACATACATAACAAAAGAGAAAAGTAATAGCTTCACATAGCAAATTTCAGATAGCCCAGGGATAATACATAGGGGAAGGGATCACACAGGTTAACGAAGATATACCATAAGTTCCCTGCCTCCAGAACCCCGCCTGGGTTCGGGCAGAGCTCCCGCAATCGGTGGGGCAACCTCCCACAGAGGCCTTGGTGCGGACCTACGGGTTGCAATCCCGCCTGCCGCCTTCCTCTCGTAACCAAAGACCAGACTGAGAGTAAGAAGGGTAGAGGCAGATACAGTAGACTCTCGAGATCTAAGAGAGGGACAAATCAACTCACGGTGAGAGGGCCTTGGAATCTGGATGCTCCTGAGGGCCATGCAGTGATGGCCAAAAATAGCGCAGTCGAGGCGCTCCAATAACAGCCAAACCCAAAGTAACAACCCTTAAACGGCCTCCAACACCACAGCCATAAGCCCCCAGATGAGGTCGGATCTCACTCCCAAGTCACCACACTTCCCTTTTTCACGGTGCCCTCTTCGGTCTGCCAACGTTGCTGCTGTTCTCACTGAGGCCCAACGTCCCACTCAGCAGCACTGCGAGGCGAATGACACCGTCCTGCAGCAGCAACCCTGCCTGCCGCAGTCGCTGTCGAACACTCAGAAACCCGAGCGCCCTGTAATGGTACCAAGCCCTGAAGTGTGACAGTTCCCCGTCCGCCCCCTTAGTCGCAGCAAGGACCCTGCGGTAAGAAGGAACAGGAATAGTGCACAGTGGTTGTCTGTGGTAACCAACAGCACCCCCGAGACTGCTTAGGCACATGAGAGAGCACGGTCCTAAGGCTGCTACCGTGAAACATGAGCAGCAATAGCCGGTTAACAATACAGTACCCGCTGTCAAGTGAGGTAGTAGCGCGGTATTGCCGTAGTGTACCGCAAGGGGCAGTCCCCAGTTCAACAGCAGTGCACTGCCAGGCACAGTTGGTGCCCAACAAGGTGCACAGCGGCGCCCACCAGTCAGCAACCCAACATGGCAGGGGTGTGCAGCAAGGTGGCGCTGCAGCAGCTCAATACGAGTACAGCAACGCACAGATCGTGTGTCGTGTTAGCCTGACCCAATAGCAGTAAACTCCCTGCACCACCTGACCACCCCTCTAAGTCACTGGGCCTCT